CGCCCCCCATATTACTTAAGCTGTGGTACAAACAGATTCTACTCAGGAAGAAACATTGTAATGAAAAGTTTGGTTTATTCTACATAGAATAAACACCGTGTGGCCTGGGCACTGAGTAGTAGTCACTGTGGTTCTAGACAGCTCGCATAAACTCTTCAGGCCTCATTTTCCTCTCTGTGATGTGGAGATAAACCATCTTGTGCTGACTGCTTTCCCCTGAGGCTGTGAGGATCAACTTTATGTGTCTGCTGTGTCTTTGAAAATCACACAGTGTGATTCAGAGAGTGTTAGCACGGGCAGTGAGCCTTTTAAGTACAAGTCCAAGAGCCGGATTTTGTAATTACACAAATTTTGATGTGTATGTGAGAAGAAAATATACTTTTTATGTGCAGTGAAGAAGGGCCTTGTAAAGGATTACATTCAGCATTGGGACTCAGTTTCGTAGGCCTGGAACTGCACTGTCCAGTAGAACTTTCTGCAGTGGTAAAAACCTTCTATATTGTGTGCTTTCTAATACTGTTTAGTTGGTCACATGTGGTTGTTGAGCACTTGGCATGTATTGGTGTAAATGAGAAACAGAATTCTTGATTTAGTTTAGTTTTAACTAATATAACTTTCTATATAAATAGTCACATGTGGATAAGTACTATACTGGACCAGACAGGAGACCTTGACATTGATCAGGCTCCATGTACCTATTAAATTATAATTTGAGTACATTATAATCAAATGTCAATTATAACAGTCAAGGGTATGTGGGATTTGTATTTGACAAGAGTAAAATGGTATTAAAATGTTGTTTGGTGAACAAAAGATCTGTTAACAGAAGATATTCAAAGAGGAAAGTGTTTATCCAAAGATGACTGTAGAAGCTGAATATTTGGACTTCTCAGCCAAAAGTCCAGACATGCTGGTGCCAGTGCTTTCCCATTCAGCTTTTGCTTTGCTTTTGCTTTGCTTTGCGTCTCCTCGCTGTCCATCACACTATTCCCTTTGCAGGATTTCTCTTCACAGTGCTCAGATTGGAGCTCTGGCTCTTTTCTTTCTCTGTTGTGATCCTTGTCCTTGGGCTTCAGTTTATTCTCCTGTAAAATGGGTCAAGTTGCTTTTTAAGCTCCTTTCCTCGTCTAACATCCTAGGAACTTTTAATGAGATAGCTTGTGTGATGATTTAGGGATCAAGATGGAAAAGGATTCTGTGGCCAGTTGTCTCAGTCTGGACCACGGGAATCTCTCTAAGCAGCCTCAGTCAGTCCATAGGTGGCCTTTCTGAGGGCTGGGAGTCTTGGTCGGCCCTCCCTTCACCTACTGGCTCTGAAACATTTTCCATTGAAGAAGGATCCAGCATTCAATTTTGTGTATTTTCACTTATCAACAAACCAAACTATTTTAAGGTTAGATATTTAAAAAAAAACTAATTCGAAGCTCTGTTGTAATTGATGAAGGCTTACTTTTCATGGTTAGTTTGTTCCTATCATGCTTTGCATAAGATAATTGGAAACTGCTGTTATTTAAGAAGAAAAAAAGCTCGCCATTTTTTACTGTTGTCAACATTCACTGATTTTTTACTTCTATTAGAATATCTACCTGTATGAATATTTTAGTAAGTAAATAGTTGGCTACATGGAGAGCTAGAAAGCTGTGAAAAATATTAAAAGTATGGTTGTGTATTTACACTTGGGAAAAATACATCCAAAGTAGAAAGGCTGATTTGTATCTTCACATATTTTAAATTTGAGATTACTCAAAAGAATGGGGGATAACAAAGTTAGTTAAAATCAACTAGATCCCATGGGTTTCCCCCAGAAAGTACTAAGCGTAAAGTATAAATAAAAGTTGATTTAGTAACTTATAAAAGAAGAACAAATAGACTGGTGAACCAACCTAAAACAACTTAAACTTTTCTTTACGTCATAATTTTCTTTGGCTTTTGTTTTGTTCTTTTAATAGATTTGGTTGAGTAAAATTTTAAGAGTGTGGAGTAAATAGAACAGAACAAATAAAAAGTATATAACATGTAAGAAAAATGTTTTAGGGACTCGAAGTATGTGAAATAAATAATTGTGAAAATTTTAGGTTTCTGGGCATAATATATGTCTGGGAACAAAGTTGTATTTTACTGTTTTCATTTACAAAAACAGAAAATGTCTTGGATTCATGCATCTAAGCTAATAGACAACTTATATCTTTTAAATTTTACAAAGAGCCATGGCATTTGATTACTGATATATATTTTCCTAAATTTTTACATGTTTTTATTTTGTTTTTTTGTTTTTGATAGAGTCCTGTGAAGATAAATCAGATTAGCCTGGATGAAAGTGGAGAACACATGGGTGTGTGTTCAGAAGATGGCAAGGTATGATGATGTTGAAAGCTCTGCTCTCTCACTGAGGACTGGGATGTTCCCTAACTCCAAGTGCTTGGAAGAGCATTCTACCTACTGTATACCTGCATTAAGAGAAACTTGCCTTTTTTTTGTTGGAGGGGAGGATATTGGACTTGCTTCCGATTGCTCATAATTAAAGTAAAATATATTTTGCACAAATGTGCCTTAGGAAAATTAATTACAAGAATGTCATTTACGTAACTGGTATTAAGCTGATTAGCAGTTGTGTCAGGGAGAACGTGTCACCTTAATCATTACTGCTATGCCACTTATACTTCAGTGACTAGTCTGCAGTTCCTGCAAGACAGTAGTTTAATGCCTTTCTGCCATAAATCCACAAAATTGGATTTTGTGGGCACGATTTCTATGGGCCGGTGGTTTTCATTTTCACATGTTATGAATGTTTCTCTTGAATTATAGAATCTTTTGATAAGCAATCATAGTTTATCAGAAGAATAAAGTGTCTTACAATGGCCACATTAAATAAATGTAAAATCAATATATGTACAGTTTTCTAAAAACCTGGCACCCACTTCCTCGACCGAGGACATACATCATTTGTGCAGTGTATAACTAACAATTATCAGTTCTTCTTGCTGATGTTGAGCTGTGACATTTAGTGGTTGTGGTGATTGATTTTCCACTTATAAGAATGTCTTTTTTGTTTTTCAGTCAGTGGAAGTCTTTTCTAATGTTGGTTCGCAGTGATAAAATTCTAATGCACAGTGTATTTAAGCTACTTCTCTAAAATAATAGTTTATGAAGAGAGTGCATTAAGAATCATTACAGAACCTTACCTATTCCTGACTATAGAGAATAGATTTCCTAATCTAATTATTTGTAGGTTTTTATGTGATCTAAATTCAATGAGCCATTAGGATGAGTAAATTAAAAACAATGTACTCAGTATAAAAGATTTATACTCATTTAATCTGTTAAAAGAAAAATGAAATCTTCTTGACATACAAAAGTGATTTTATATATCTCAGCCTAATGTTTCTTAAAGTCTTTTGAAATAGTAATTGGAACACTTGTGCTTTTCAAAAAGCACTGTCAAATTTTATAGTACCTTATGAAATTCTGAGATGAACCAGACTGTCAAAGAGAGATTGAGGGAGGAGTTGGTATGTGCAGAAAGTGAGAAGAATTATTCAAACTATTGAAAAATTTTTGTATTCACGTATTTGTAAGAAAGATCATTTTCATTTTGTTTTCTTAATGATGAAGGATTCCTTCTGGGCTTATAACCAATTAAATTGAACTAATTTGTTGAAAGAATAGTCATTTTTTGAATTAGAAAAGAATTTTTATGAAGATACTTCATCTAGGAATTTTCAGCACTTTAAATATTGAAGAATTATTATTTGATGTGGCAGAGGGGGATATTTTAACTATTATATCTAGTGGATAATGAGATGACTCAGACATCTGGTACACTTCTTGGCAAACCTGTTTTCCTAGTTTAGTAATATTTATAACTGCTGTATTTTGGTATAGACCCATGATAACATTTTTTAAAATGCTTTTGTCATTTATTAGCATTGATAGAATTGAAAATAAGTACTTCAATGTACATTTTTATGTTAGCTAGCTCTTAACCATGGGCTAGTATTATAAAAATTGAGTAGCTAGTATAGGGAGATCTAGTAAAGTGATTAGTGATGATAAAATAAAGATTATTCTGAAGATAAATTCCAGATATCTAGATCAAATGTGTCTTTAAATGGCTCTTGTTATTATTTTTCCTTGGTGTATTAAGACTTCTAGATAAATAATTATGTTCTTTTTCAAGGATAACCTTTGATATCTATATTCAGTTTTAAAGTTATAATTCTAACAGTTTAAAATTTTCTGTTTATTTAGCTGCTGCTCATTCTGTCTTTTTATTTCATGGCTTCTCTGTGCTTGAGTTCTAAGTTTTGAAATATACTTATATGTGTGAGAGAGAGAGAGCGAGAGTGTGTGTGTATAGTTTCAGTTTACTGGCATACAGTTTTAAGTAACTTTCTGATAAGGACATATATTGTTTATTTTCTGATCTCTTACATAGATTGCCTTCATACATAAACTAGAATCTATTTAGTATAGAGTTCTGTATTGAAATATTTTCTCAAAATTTTGGAGATGTTGCTCCCTTTTGTCTGACATTTATTTTTGTAGACATGTCTGAGGCGGGCATACTTTGTTCTTTCACAAAACCTTTTTAATTTTTTTCTTGTCCTGCCTTGGAGCTCAGACTAATAACAATAACAACAATGACGATAATAAATGGCCCTTGTAACTCAGTTTGCTAAGTTAAAGTCTTGTTTGGGTCTGTTTTCATTAATTTTGTCTGTAACACAGTAAGTCCTTTTGATCCATATTCTGAAGTATTGTTTTCATTTCAGGAAAGTTTACTTCAGTTCTGATTTTGATTATTGCTTCAGTTCCATTTGTTTTCATTTCTTCAAAGAAACTCAATAATACTTAGGCTGGAGGCAGTATCGTGCAGAGGCTATGAGCAGAGCTCTGCTTTTCACCTGCCTGGGCGGCAGCCCCACTGCTCTGCGTCGGGTAAGGTTGGGCACGTTGTTTGCTCTCCCAGTGCCTCTGCTTCCTCAGCTGTGTGGGCACTGGGCACAGTGGAAGTCCTGCATAAGAATGTTGTGAGGTGCCAGGTGTGTGGTGAACTCTCAGTTATATTAACTGTTTTTATTTCTAACCATTTATTTCTTAACCCATTGCAGTCTGGCCTCTTCCCCTCCCAAATTATTGTACCTAAACTTTTCAAGATAAGAGAGTGAATGGATAAGCACTATTCATTCTTTCTCTCCTTTCTGAAATACATGTGGTAAGAAAAATTGGTCATATTGTGTGGTGCACACACACCCCCACCACATATGTGCTTTGCTTTCTCGTTGTTTTTATCCTCTCATTTCTTTGTAATCAGAGTTTCCTACTTGTTTGTTCACTTTGTTGATTTGCTTTTCTTCCACTGTCAGTTTTGCTTTTTAGAGTAGTTTTATTCCATTTTGCATTCTTAATTTTCCTGAAATCTTTCTCTCTCTCCTAGCTCTATATTCAACCATATATATGGCTGAAAAATATATATATATGTGTGTGTATTTTTAATTACAACTTATATGTCTTAGAGTGTCAGGCAATATTGTCTAATGATTAGGAGTGGAATTACCAGGCACGTTTTAGCTGTGTGATGTCAGCTAATTTATTCATATTTCTCTGTGCCTCGATCTATTTCCTCTTCTATAAAATGGAGATAATAGCAGTACCTCCTACACTGATTATTAGGAGGCATAAATGAGTTAATATATGTAGGTTGTTTGCAGAAGTACCTGGAGCAGAAGAAACACATAGTAATTGTTAGCTTTTATCATCCTCATCATCATCACCATCAACATCATCATTCTTTCTGCAGCAGATTCTTGGAGGTCTTCTTATCAAAGTCGCCAAAGAGTTTTCTAGTGTTCCTTGCTTTTCTGGTTATTATTAAATCATTTTTTAAAGCATGGTTTTTTTCTCCCTCCAAGTCATAGAAATTGTGTTCTGCAGTATTCTTTTTGTATAGCCTTTGCGTGTGGTTTTGTTGCTTGCTTATCCATTCCAGAGCAAGAAGAGCTCTTTCTGAACCTGGGTTAGCAAAAAGATCCATGTCTGACTGCTCTTGGCTCTGCACGTTACTGTTTTGAGTGTTGTAGAATCACTTCTGAGCTCCACACAGAGGTCCTTTTAATGAGCTCAGTTTCCTTTGACCAGAAGTAGTTAGTTAAGGCAGCTTCCCCAGATTGAAGTGGGAGCCTCTCTTATAATCTCTCCCTGCTCTGTGACACTGCATAGGTGGAGAATATGAAAACCAGAATCTCCCCTGTGAGGGTCTCATCTGCTACCTCCCTCGATGTGATGGCAGCTTACATGTTTGTCCCTGTTCTAATTCTTGACCTGTTGTTTGGAGGCTGGGTTTGTGGGAGGCTGTTACAAAGGAAGTACCAGCTGGGAGGATTGTCTGACACTTTGGCCACCTCACTCACAGTCCCTTTACATCACATGGTCTTTCACCCAGTTTTCTGATTGGCAAATACACAGAAATCCATGCTAAAGTGGAGAGAGATACATACCTTCCTTGTTTCATGAGGGTAGCTCTTCTTTACTTCAAGCGGTAAAACACATATCACATACCTTTAGTGGACCTCATATGGCTCTGTGGTTTTGTAGTTAATGAGAACTCCTCTAGGACTTTGTAGTAGATTGACTATAAGGCCAATTGTTCTGAATTTTTTATTTTCCTTCATTAGGTATTTTTGTTGACCAATTAGGGGAGATCGTTAGGGCTGCTATAGGAGATTTCATTTTTCAAAAGGATCCTGTCTATTTTAACTTTTATCTAATTCTTAGATGAGGTCTTCCTAAAAGTTCTCCAGGCTGTCATTCAATGGAATCTTTTCACAGATGAGTACGGTATTCACTGACAAAATTGGCAAGATAAATAAAGAGGGAGGGAGGGAGAGGGAGGGGAAGAGAGAGAGGGAGAGAGAGAAAATGAATGAAACCTGTTTTGGATTTTATTAGCTTTAGTAGCATAACTTGTGACCAACTAGTTTTGGCTGACACATAAGTGAAACGAACTGAAACACTGAAGGTTTAAAATCATCCTGCTTATTTTTTTATATTGCAGGAGAAAATAAGGACAGTTGAGGAAAATGTTATTCTGTTAAACATAGTACTAGAGAGTGACCTAAGAGTTCTAATCTTTCTTCACCACCTTCAGCAAACAATCCTCCAGTCAACGTTCTGGGTATGATAGTGGCATTTTTGCTTCTGACTAGTTCTCAAGAATAGTGATAAGCATCAGCCTGCTAGGTAGGAACTTCTGTGATTTGTTCTCTTTTCTGTTTATTCCTCCTCATCACTTTACTATCATATCTTCAGTATGGATTCATAATATTTAAAGGGACGTTTACCCCAGCAACTTATAATTTAATCTTCACCATTAGATTCACAGTCTTAATATTTATCTTCTCATCTACTGATACCTCAGTCTATTTCAACAGGCATGTGTATCATTTGTTTATGATGCTTTTCCCCACAATAAACATCACTTACTTTTTGTTCTTAAAATCATCTTTATCTTGCTATAGGCAGAAGGAAGTTTATACTTTTGAATGAATAGTTTGCTCCAGTTTTCAACCTCTGTCATAGAATTGCATAATTCAAAGTCTAATATTCACCTTCACTTTTGTTTGGCAAATATTTGGGACTTTTTAATGTTTTTTTCCTGCTTTTAGAAATATATATTCCTTATTTACGAATTGTAGACTATCATATAATGATAGTATGCAGAAGAATAGGGCTTAGAATACTTTTCTTGCTTTTTATGACCTTAGGCAAGTCATTTATTTTTCTTCAGAATCATCTGTTAAATAGCATAATGGTGTTAGCCCTCATACCTAGCAGTATTGCTATCAGGGCCAAATGAGGTAGTTCAGGATTTTCAGTTCTGGCTGCATCTTGTCAATTGTAGACCTTTAAAAATATAATTTTATTTTACCAGAAAGTTTAATTTGTCCAGGGTGGCGTCTAGACATTAGTTAACTGTGTAGTGCAGTCAGATTTGATAACCACTGAGGTGAAGTATGTGGAAGCATTTAGAGATATGTTATTAGTATTAATAAAAGATTTGACACAGGACCATGTTGTCACATTGTTATACAGAATGGAAATAGCTTATGTTAGAATTTAAACTTCCTACTTTAGCATGATTTTATATAGAGGTAACTTCAGTAAGTTGACCACTTGTGATTTCCTCTTCCATTAAGATTCGGATAATGCAGTACCTTATTTTTATCTAATTTTCTTGGAATTTGGGGAATCAATCAAGTTAAACGTCCGTTGGGTAGAGTAAAATCTGAATGCAATGCTTTTCTTTCCTGCTTCTTAAGCACTATTTTATAAGAAGATTATTGCATCCTTTGGTTATATATTTATATAAAAGTAATGATTTGATGCCCTCTAAATGATAAGAAACAAGATCGTGGTGGGCATACATGTATTGCCAGACTACATGTTACAGACTACCTCAGGGTAAATCAAATGCCTTTTGTGTTACATTGTACCGTTTGCTATTATTGGAATCCAAATAACATACTTGGCACAAGGATATAAAAGCAGTAGTCACAAAGTGAATGGAGTATCCTAAAGGTTTTATCTTTTAGTGAATAGAGTTATCTTCAAAAATTATAACATGAGTAAAATTTCCTCTTTGACCTTGCAATAATGAACCACTCACAACTTACCAAAGATTAAAACAAAAGGAAATCGAAAGCCTGAATAGTTTTATATCTATTTAAGAAATTGAATTCATAATTAAAAACTTATCATAAAGAAGCCATTAGACCCAGACACCTTCACTAGTGAATTCTTACAAAATTTAAAAAAAGAAATAATACCACTTTGTTAGAAATCAGAAAAACAGGGAGGACATCCAAAGTGCTGGGAAATAGTTCTAAGTGGCCCTAATAATAGTAATAATAGTGGCCCTAATAATAGTTCCAAATGTTTGAGAGCTACTAGAATTCTTATGTTCTGCGAGTGAGAGAGTAAATTGATCAAAACCACCTTTCGAAATAGTTTGGCTGTCTATTAATTGTGAATAGATGCATAACCTGTGACTCATCAATTCCATTTCTAGTTAATATATCCTTCATAAATGTGTATATAAGTGCATCAAAATATTTGTGAAGTGTGTTAATTGTAGCATTATTATAATATCCCCAATATAGAAAGAATGATCAGTGGAAGATGGATACATAAATTTTATACATTGAAATACTACACAGCAATGAAAATAGTCGGCAACTACTACATACAACAGTATGGATAATTCTCCCAAAGAAAATATTGAGTGAAAGAAGTCAGTGAAATAGCTTATGGTTTAATTTATATAAAATTCAAACACCAGTACACCTTATCTATGGTGATAGATTTCAGAGTAGTTTGTGACTGGGAAGGGAAACATAGGAGCTTCTTGGGTTCTTTTTCTTGATCCAGGTGGTGGTTGCAGGGGTATAGTCATGTCATAAAATTGTGCCAAGCTGTAAATTTATAGTTTTTACTCTTTACAGTATGTATATTATTCAGAGTTTTTTTTTTTTTTAAGTAAACCACTCAGATAAGAGATTAAGCATGAATAAAGTTGACTAGAACGACTTTAAAGGAGGCACTGATAGGTAGAAACTTAAATCAGACATTTATACACTCTCAATAGATTAAGCATAAGATTGTAAATGAAATGTGGTTCATTTAATCTCATACCACAGTGATTAATCTTCATGGTTGAGACATATATATATATATATATATATATGTTTGTGTGTATGTATATATATAATTAAAATATTATTCAGCCATGAAAAAAGAAAAAAATCTTGCCATTT